TGTGCCAGAGAGAGAAAGAGACAGGAATCCATTCCACCATGCTCTATTAACAGGCATACGGCTGGGTCCGGGCAGCTCCAGTGCAGGCTTACTTACGGTGTGTGGCCTCAAGCAGGGAGGTTAACACTTGAGCATTTCATCTCTTGGATAGCTGGATCTGAATTTTGAACATGACAATGAGACTGTTTGTTGTTTCAAAGCAATTCCCTAAGTGGCTGTTTGCTCAAGACTTTTGTAGTGTGAACAGGGATTTGGGGGAGGGGAAGACGCCATCTGTTCTGGAATCATCGTCCAATTACACGATCAAATTACTGCAGAGCAAAATGGAGGGCGTCCAACAGAAAGTTCCTGTCTGGCGTATCCAGCCCCAGTCTGCTCTCTGAGGCCACTGTGTTGACGTGAAGACTCACATGCAGGTTTCAAAGGCAAGGCCATGGTCACTAGGACTGTGAGCTAGAGGAGAGCAGAGAAAGCCAAGGTGGAGAGAGTCAGGGTGAGCTGTCTTGCCTCATCAACATGCCATTCAGAAAAGTGAAACCATCTTGGATTGGAATTAAAAAGTGAACCTTGGGAGAAACTCAGTCTTTTGTCCTGATGACTTTGGGGATACATGGCTTTGATTACAATTAATTTATCATATCAAATGAAAAGGTTACATCCCTTTATAAGTTGGCGATTTTTATTTGCTAAAATTCTATTCGTATTGAGAGTCTTAAATCTATTTTCCTTAAACTAGGAGAACAATTTTCTTGTTTTTGAAATATGGCCTGTGTCAATTTGCAAAACATCCTTGAGTCTTATTTTTTTCTTCTAAATCTACATGTGGTGTTTTCTTTTTCTTTCTTTTTTTTTTCCTTTTTGCTATTAGGCATTCATGCAGCCTCACTTGCTGGGAAATGAGTTCACACATTTGGAGTTTCCAAGGAGAGTGCAGAGGAAGGAACTTGGAAAGAAGATGCTCTACAGGGACTTTAACATGACAGGCTGGTAAGAACACTCCTCCCTCCGCCTCGGCTCGGCCACGGTGCATGTGAAGGACGCGTCACCACCATAGTCACCGCCATAACAAGCCACTTACGCAGTTTAGAGCAGAAGGTGCAGCCAGAGACCCGGGGGTGTGGTGAGGGGAAAGAGGCAACGCCGCCTCTGCTGTTTGCGCCTTGGCACTGCTCTCAAATCCCAGTTCTCTGCTTCTCTGAGGTCTTCGTTGGGGTCACAATGCTGACATAATTCCTCACTTCCCACAGAGCAAGCATTTGGGGACTTTTAAAACACAGCAAACTTGGTTTTTAGGTCAGGAGCTCAAAGGAATGGGCCCAAAGTTTATTGGGCCAGACTGGCTTGGATTTGAACCCTAATTCTGACCTTTCTAAATGGGCATAAACTACTTCACCCTTATGAGCCCAGTTTTCCATGGATGCAGTGAAAAAGTATATACTCTTTGAAGAGTCGTTGTAAGGCCTTTGAGTAATGAGCTATCCTCATTATTTTATTATATTCACGTTGAAATAAGAGTCTTGGCTGGCGTGTTTTAGTCCCCAAACACACCTATCTAAGCACCAAAACCATTTCTGTAGTGTGTTGGTGGCTAATGTTGACTAAGACCTCATCTATTTCTTACACCTGAGACAAAGAGATGCGATGATAAGGTACTTATATGTAATAGGGTTGGCAGAAGGATTACATGAGAGAGCAGTACCTGAGAGTGGAGATTTGCCCATAGCCCCTCTGAGCCTCTTGCCAGTCTAGAGGCTAGTCGGAGAAGGAGACAGTGGACTCTCTCCTCGCCATACCTCCAACCCAGGCAAACAAGTAGATTTGTCATCGCTCCCTCATTGACCAAAATAGCTGTAACAGATGGTCACAGCCAAAATTCCCATGGTGATGACTTCTAGGCTAGAAATCTCCTAGGGTACATACTGTCTTAAAGGAGCAGTTCTGCGATCCAAGGAAGAAAAGGGATTGATCTAAGGCACTTGCCGTTGTACTTTGCCATCCAAAGCAGAAGATCCTCACCAGTGTCTACTTTTCTTCTTCTTCTAAAACAGGATCAGCAGACTGTGGCTCAAAAGCCAAATTCTACTCATAGCCCCTTTCTGTGAATAATTTTTTAAAAATATGACCATATTTGTTTGTGTACGTTTGATCTTTGGCTGTCTTCACACTGTAACAGGCATTTGAGTAGTTGCATCAGAGACTATATGACCCACAAAGCCTAAAATACTTAACCCTGTTCCAAAATATGAATTTATCAGAAAGCGTTCACCATATTTCAGCTTTGAGTCCTGGAGTTTTGGTGCCTCCGAGTCATTACCCTAAACTGATTCCGTTTTCTTTGTCAATTAATTTTTATTCAATTAGCAAAATCAGCATTTCTTACAGAAAAAGTTTAAGGTGAGGGCTCCTCTAGTTCGGAAAAGCATGGTAGGGTTTGGTCTGTTGCAGAATTTGAAACAATGAAANTTTTTTTTTTTTTTTAAGGTTTGTGGTAAACACTGAAAATCCTCATTTTGATAATGTCCTTTTAAATATGGAAAGGTCAGAACATTTAAAAAGTTAATTCAGACAAAAGTTTTTTAGTTAGAGGACTTTACAGAATATGTCCTGTTACGGAATCTGCCCTCTCATTTAACACATGAGTATTTTTACTTCCCGTACTCTGCTGATGGGAGTGGAAATTGGAACAACTACTTAGAAAAGGGGTTTGGCAGCCACTCCTGAAACGTAGCATCCCATGGCCCAGCAGTTCCCCTCCTAGGTCTGTACCTAACTGGAGTGTATATAAACATCTGCCTGGGGACTAGATGTGCATAGCAGCACTGTTTGTAATAGCCCCAATTGGAAATTGCCCAAATGCCCATGGAGAGTCGAATGGATAAATAAATGTGGCAGAGTCACAGGCTGGAATGCTGTGCAACACTGAGAAGGAACAAATGGTAACTACACAATAACATGGATGAATCTCATAGGCTAAACATCCAGCAAAGGGGGCAGCCTGTAGGATTCCATAGGAAGTAGAGACGGGCAAAAGCAATCTGCAAGTTGGGGTAGTGCTTCCCGTGGAGGGAGCAGCAGTGAGTGGATGGGATCCTGACCCCAGGGTGCTAGCAGTGTTCTGTTTCTTGATCTGGATGCCAGTTACATGAGTATGTTCAGTGTGTGAGAATTCATTGACCTGCACTCATATGATAGGAGCACTTTGCTGTACGTATATTATACTTTGTTGAAAAGTTTTCTTTTTATACTAAGTACTTTTATTTTATTTATATATTACCCTCTGTAGGAGGGGCCCTCCTTGGTACCCTACAGGAACCCCAAGTGAAATGGCAGGGCAGGTTCCCCAGGAAGCCACACTCCTGGCACCTCTCTGCTCTACACTCCTCTCCTAAAAGCAGCTCCCAGAGCCCCTGCACCCACCTGCCTCTGCTCTTGCTGCACTCACCCCAGAGCGCTTGCCTGACCAGCTGCTGAGATTCTCTCTGAACCCAAGACTCTCTCTGAGTGCCCTACTCTTTGTCCCTCATCCCTGGGGATATCACCATTTCCATTCGTAAGCCTTCCTTACTAGCGTGTGAGCTCTGAGCAGAAGGGCCTCCTTTTTTATTCTTTGAATTCCTAGCCCCTGGCACCTAGCACACGCAGGAGCTCATGTGCTAGTTGCATGAATTCCTTTGGCTGCATACCCAGAAACCTGGGACAGTCTCCTCATTGGCTGACACCACTCAGTGGCAAACTGACCACAAGGCAGCAGAAGGAAAGTTTATTAAAAGAAGGAAGCATTTTATGTTCCCCAGCAGGCAATTTTGAGTAACCTCAGGACCCACCATTTCAGTGTTTGCAGGAAGCCGGTGAGGGCCCCTCCCATGACCTTTCCATACACAGCACTCTCTGGGACCCGGGTTCCTGCTTCCATTGTCTTTTTCTCCCTGCCTTGCCAAGGTGCTCAAAGCTCTTCCCCAGTCCAGGAGGGTGGAGCTCAGGTCCATGTGCTCTGGAGCAAGACAGACCTGGATTGAGGGTACTCACCCACTCAGCTCTTGTGAGAGGCTTCCTGGAAGGTTCCAGAAGATCTCTCTTCTTCAGGCTTGTTCCCTCCCGTTATAGCTCAACCCCTCTGTGACTCAGAGACTCTCGCTGGGATGGGATGGTTGCCTTTCTTCCCAGAATGGTGCTCACCTCCCTGCCCTTCCTTGAAGCTGGTTTCTGCCCAGGACTAGAGAGGAGAGTAGTCAGAAGGAGACGTCCAATCCTCCTTCCCCTGGGGTCCTGCCACTTCTTGCACAGCACGTTACTCCAGCCTCCTTTCCCTAGAAAAGATGCCTCTTCTTTTTGTGCCTGGCCAGACAGAACCATGTCTGGAAGCTTGTTCTCATTAGTTGCCTAGACACTAAGTGACAAAGATATGTCCTACCCCCTTTTTAGCAAAGCTGTGCTCTCCAGAGTCCTTAAGACTCTTGGTGACCTGCCTTTGGTTTTGCCAGGGCACTGGTTACAAAGCTTCCCCCCACCCTCAGGTGCTGTTTGTGGCACACACACTAATGACAGGTGTACCTCCACCTCATCCTCTCAGGAGCATTCTGTTATGTTTTCTTGAGAGGAAACATAGGATACATTTAGGTTAAAAATGGCGGTACAAAAAGCAGTCCATTTTTTTTTTTTTTACATGGGGCAGGCCAGCACACTTCATATTAGATTTTAGTTTTAGAAACAAAATAATGTTTCTAAGTTTCAAGTTGGCATACTTATTAAGTAGAGAAGAGACATAACATTATATAGAAATTCTTAGGATTGTGAAATATGATGGAATTTTAAATGGTACATTTGCTCCCACCCACACATGTGTGGTTTTATAGGAAGGTATCACTTTATAAAAAGTTAACTCAATATAAAATACGGTAACTTGTGTTCAAGATTATTCTTAATTTTTTTTTAACCTTAGTTTTAACTTTTTGAAAGATTGAAAGGTACATTGTATTATTTTGTAAAGTTGAAACCATCACTAAAAAAGCAATTGCATTGAGGAGGTTAGGATGTCCTGGATTCATTGTTTTAGCAAATACTTAGAGTCTTACTGTGTTAAGTGCTATGCCAGGCACTAGGGTGTAGCTAAGATTTTAAAAATAACGGACATATTTAAGTGTAGCTGGTATTGCATCACCAAGCAGATGTTTCTTACATGCATGTATCCAAATAGCATCATCAAAGGGAAAAAGATAAAATACGTCCAGCCTATCAGATAAATAAGGAATGTTTAGGAGTTTCCAGAGTTTCCAGGTCTGTTTTGCAGGTGGACCTGGGATCTTACTGTTTACTTGCTCCCTTCTTGGATTGCCATCCTGCCAAAGTCCACATTTTTAACAGGCCAGAACCCCTAGAAAATGTGCCTTGGGAGGCACAGTAGTCATGTGTACATATGTAGGAGCTTCCCAGGTATGAGCAGTGAAGTAGAATATGCCAAAACTGTCCATGAATCTTACAAGTGTGGAGTCAGGAAATCTTTGGGTTTTGTGGCTGAAGGGAACCTAATGAATTCCTGCTCCCACATTTTACAGACTTGAAACTTTGGGTATGCTGCTTACATTGAATTAGACGTAAAATCACTTTCAATGTTCAGGATTCCAGAATGCTGACCCGAGTGATGTGTCTCACAGGGCAGACCAGCACGAATGAAGTCATTAATGTTAACCAGTTACATCCCTTGAATGCTGGGAAGGCCCTCAGAAGAAGTTTCTGAATTCCCAAGTTGTTGGGCAACTCTACTTCTGAGAACAAAATGTCTCTGTGATGGCCTGTTGGGACACAGCGGGATTCAGTGTCCCCTGCACTGGAGCCAGGCCCCTGCCCTGGTTGGCCCTTCCCAGTGATTGTAGTGTTTTCTCAAATGACTGGAATAAGAAGGGGCAGTGAAGCTTCTTGCAACAACTTTCTGAAACTCAGTTTAATAACTGGGT